TTCCCATTTTATTTCCCCCACTAGGTTGCCCAGCTTATCAAAGTTGGCACTTCTGAAGTTTAGTGTTCTAGTCCTTCCAGCCCACTTCCCTTTTCTGTATTCAATATTAAAAGTAATCACATTGTGATCACTATTACCCAATGACTCCCCAATGACAATATCCTTGATTAACTCTGCATTATTAGTGACAATTAGATCTAAGATGGCATTTTTTTCTGGTAGGAGTCTCCACCATCTGGTCCATGAAATTGTCGCGCAACATGTTTAGAAATCGCCCCGCCTTCGCCGTACCTGAAGTTCCATTGACCCAATTGATTTTAAAAGCTCCTCCAGTCGTTCTACCATTTTTCCCCCCAGGTATGCTACTGATACTGCCAGATTCCAAGATCTAACATCATGTAGATGGTCTGAGATTGTGTCCTTCAATTTCTTTTTAGCCTTTCCAACATAAAACATGTAACATTTACATAACAAAAGATAGACTATCCCTTCCATAGCACAGTTGGTAAAATGTTTGCTTTTAACTACACAGAAGACAATAAGGTGCAGTGCAGTGAGCACACAGCACACAGTGTTACCACTCACCCACTCGCTCCAGCCTCTCCTATTTGAATCCATCGCCACATAACCACTGCTGTGCCTTCCACTGTACTGTAACCCTCTCAGTGCCAGCCAGGCAAAGGGTGGCGCGCTCAGTGATCAGCAATACTACACAACACTGGAGCTGTAGGGTTACATTGTGAGGGGAAGGAGTAGGAGCGAAGAGGTTCCAGTCTGTGATGCACAAAATTTACGGAGCAGCACAACACAACATGTGAGCACGGCGGGGGGAGGGATGGGAACGAGTAGACTGCTATAAGTGAAAGACGCACAAATCACTGGTACAAAATAAGCAATGTGATATGAGATAGACATTTTACTAGATGAGCTAAAAAAAAGTTTAAGCCATGCTGGTAATGTTTTCAATGTTTTTATATGTGCATTGTTTAAGTAGAAAGAATTAAAGACATGTTGTGAAACATTTGGGTATATTGATACAGTAAACTAAGCTGTTGAATAGATATAGCCCCATTTCCAAGTTTAAGTGAAAAATGGTTGCATGATCCGAATGACTATGACACCATTTTGCAATAGTCTGCTCATGTATAGACTGAAGAATGATAGAACCAAGCAATTTTAGATTTGCCTAGACCAATGTTTGTGTTGCAACAACTGTAAAATTACTTCTTTCGAGACTGTAAACATGCCATTTGTGTTTCAAACAGCCAACCTGCCTGAACAACCAGTTGGTGTATGTGGACTGCAAGAAAGGAACTATGGTACAAGTGGACAGCTCACAAAGGATGTTAAGAATGGCAGACCCGGACTCTAGATACAGCGGCTTCTACAGTATGCAAAAGCAGAACAACCTTCAGGCAGATAATTTCTATCAAACTGTGTGAGGAATGCTCAGACAACTAAGATATGGATTTTTTTCCTTTTTTAAAGGAAATGAAAACAGACAAGAGGATGGGAAAAGACTAAAGCCTGCTATATAACTAAAATAAACTAGAAACGTGCACTTGCTCATTGGATTGTGTGACATGTACTGCCAATACCTTACTGAGACGAACTCTTGTCTCCTGCAATGTGCCAAAACAAACATTCCCACTTTCCCTTTGTAAGAACTGACCAAGTGTTTTCTTAGTACCAAAGTTTGGAGAACTGGCTCATACATATCTGCTTATAACATAGCTGTAAAAAAGTTTTCTTTTTTTCTGGTTTGTTGGGTTGGTGGTTTGGGGTACCGACAATGGAGAGGTCACATGAGATTAAGAGGATGAAGACAGGAGGAAAGCAAATGCGGTTAGCGGGGCAATCGATTTATTTTCACAAAATTGATCACATTGTCAAACCACGCACATGTAATAATGGAAATTTCCGCATCCCGACTTAAAGACATTGGCTTCTCTTGCATCTGAGATTCTATATATGTGTCAAACAACAAAAATAAGGCTGATCAGAGTGATCTTTACAGTTGTTAAGATTGTTGAGGTCTAAATATGCTACAGTATAAATCACAGCCATAGTTATGCTGCAATTACTTTTTTCCTTTCTAAAATGATCTCTTTACATATGTATAAAGGAAGTGGTAACTTTAAAAAGTAGACAAAACAAAATAGATGATAGTTGCCATAAAATAGAAACAAGGGTAATGGTTCTGAAACTATATACATTGTGCTGCTTTTTTAAATAGCTAATGGGCCAGTTGGATTCAGGCAAAATTACAGAGGGCTTAGTAGGTGTTAATTTTCATCTTTAAATCTATATCTGAGCACTGGATTTTTATTTTTTCCTAAGAGCAGTATTTAAAGTAGACATTGTAAGTTCTTCACTATGCTGTTCAAATTATTTCTTTTATAATGGGTATTGTTTTTTTGTGTGTGTGTGTATGTGTGCGTGTGTGGGAGTGTGTGTGATCCTGTTGCATTTTTGAGCTATGAAGAGAAGGATTGATAATGTTATTAATATATTTGATGCCAGGGAGGGAGTAGATGTAGGTAACATTAACAGAAAGCCATTGGCATTATCTTGCTGGAATATATAAGTTGTGCTTCAAAGAAGTGGAAAGAGTAGACAAATGCTTTGTTTTTATTTAGAGTTTATTTTTATTTTTACATTTGTTTTTTTGTTTATGTTTTACGTTACTGGTTACGCAAATTAGAGAACTGCTACCCTACTTGGGTATTGCTTAATTTTGTATTATTCAAGCACCTTTTTCAAAGCTGAGTTTAAATTAATTGAATACATAAAGTTAAAAAAATATAATTAATAAGAGGAGATTATGCTTCTTTGAAACTTTAGCATT